TCTGGGATGAAACATGGCTGGTGTTAACAGCAACAGTTCAGGGAGGAAGTAAAGGATGGTATGTTGCCCCAGTGTTTTCTGTGGCAGGTGGTAGGCAGAATGCAGTAGCTGGCTTGTGGCCAGGCTTTGTGGTTTCTGCCCTTATTTTTACAAAAGAGGCTGATCTCCGGTGACTAAAAGTGGCCAGGACCTCAGTTTGATGTCTCTGCACATGGCACTTCGAACAGCAGGGTGGCTGCTAACACTGTATTGGGACAATTGATTTTTCGTACCTACTGGTATGAAATCAACAGCACCACTTCCTGCAGCACCTTGATTTTTCCCAGCTCCGTTCAAATCCAGGCAGTCCACATCTGTTTAGCTGGTGAAAACTACAGGCTCACAGTACAAGGTGGTACGGTTGATTAAACCCCCCAGACAATCCAATGATATGGGGGTGGGGGGAGCTCTTTTGTGGCAAAGTCACAAAGAATCTCGAAGAATTGAACCAGTTACTATGCAACATACCAATAACACAGCTTACATTTTCTATCCTGTCGACATTAGTGGAAATGAGGTTTAAGTATAGAGGTTAGAATGTGGCCTTGTAAACATTTTTTCTAGCCTAGAGGGACATTTAATTTCTTAATTTTTTTAATACTTTAGCCTTCAACTAATATAGTGCTAAGCTATTAATTTTTAAAATGTGAAACATTAAACCTTGTTCTGGCCTTTGCCTTTGTGTACGGTTAAAACAAAAGTTTTGACTCCTTAGCAAGTTGATCATTTAATAAGAAAAGGAAATTAATTGCTAATTAATTCACTATTAAGGTGTGATGCTAATGACATATCATCTGTGATTATAATGAAATGACTGCATAGGTACAATGTCATCATCAGTTACTTAGTCTGGGTTTATGCAGCCCACGTTTCAATAATGGGCATCAAAGGCAGGCTTGGGAGCAGAATGATTTATGGGCTGCATTGACTAAACAGTATCCATCTTTTTAATCTCTGGACTGCTGGGTAAAATTATTGGGGTTTAGATGGATCTCAGTGGAAGGGCAATGTAGTATAAAAATGGAGAGGAAAAGGCATCATCATTTTTATAGGAAGGGAAGACGTGGGGGGTGGGGTGGGCTTGTCCTCAGGCTGCCCCAAAATCATATGGGGCTTTCGTGAAAATGGGTGACATGGGTATTCTCACCCTCCGAGAGATCCAGCTCACTTATCCTATTAATCTTATTTCTATTGCATGGACCCCTCTACGGTGATGGGAAGTGAAACACTTGTTTTTCCCCGTTTAAACACATTATTCAAAATATTCCAATTTTATTAAATTTTAGCACATGCAATGTAAGAGATTTTTTTTAAAGCTGCGCAAACAGCATTTCTAATCCTAACTGATATAAAATAACACCACCCTAATCAAAACATCTACATTAAAACCCAACTTTAATATACTTTGTCCCTATTGTGAGTCAATGAAAATCCACTGAAGCTATTAGTAGTGTTCTTCTTATGAAATGTTATATGGCTCTTTCCCAACATGGAGGAAACACACTATAACATTGACATTTTTGCACTTGTAGAATAAATAAAATTACTCTTTTTTTCCTTCCATCATCTTTCGGAGTATGTTACAAGTAAAACATTTCCTGGCACATAATACAGGATTATTATCCCTGTTTTCCAGATAAGGAAACTAAAGCATAGATTGGTTAAGAACTACATTTTTAAAAGTGGGCATCATTGTTTTCTGAGAGGGAGCTATCAAGGACCAAATTTTTAAAGGCAGTTGGCTCTGAGGAGCGGGGACGAGTTCTGTAATAAATGGGAAGTAGGATGTTTCGGAAATCCCAATTATTGTTCGTTTTTATTTGTATTATTGCCGTGGTAATACAAATAATAATGCAGCAGCAGCCCTACTAATGGACCAGGTGCCTATTGTGCAAATAGCCATACACACTCAGAACAAATGATGGTTCCGTACCCCCCAAAGCTTACAATCTACATGCCGAAACCCCATGGGACTGAGTATCACCACTGTCCCGATGTATATGAGATGCTGCAAAGCTCAGTAAGATCCACTGGAATACTTCCATTGTTTTCATGGGGCATTGGAGCAGGTCTTGGCTCCGAACACTTCTGACACTCAGGCCTTAGGTGTTCCAAACTGACACCCAAACTCAGAGGACCCATTTTAAAATGTAAATCTGCTGCTGCACAGGCTTATGCATGGCCCTTTCCCTCTTCAAAATCAGTAACTTCACCCACTGGTAAAATTAAGTGGGAGAAGGGAGTGCTTATTGGATCCTGCATGCTCAGCCCAAGGTCATGCCTTTGTCCCAGGACAGTGACACAGAGTAAGGGCCTGAATCAGTGCACCCTCTAATCTCTACCACCTAGGTGTGCGGAATAATTTTTTGGTATATGCACTGAGGTAGGTGCAAAATATGCACCACGCCTGGAAACAAAACCCAGCTGTGGGCCTCTGCTAATCACCTGAGCCGCATTTGCACCTCTCCTGAGCGGCTGCAGGAGCGCCCAGGTTTCAGGGGACACTGCCCCCCCTCCAGCCCACGAGCTGAGGGTCCTGCTCCCTGCCCGGCTCCTGCAGCCACTGTGCACCGTGGCAATAAACAGCACCCCCTCGGCTGCAATCAAATCGCCGCGGAGCTCATCATCGGGCCATCTGGTGCACCGCGGCGGAGGTGGGGCCCGATCCTGCGCTCCCCGGCTTGCTGGGGGTTGTGCGCGGCTTCCAGCCGGGGAAGCAGCTGCCCCCGGCGCGCGCAGCAGCGGCCCCTTTAAGGCGCGAGGCGGCGGAGAGCCCCGCGCTGCGTGTGGCGGCGTGGAGAGAAGGGAGGGGGGGGGCGGACAGCAGCCGCGCGGGGCGTGTGTCAGCGCGGCTGGCACGGGCATTGTTCCCTGACGTCACTCCGCCAGCCCTGCCGCCGCGGCTGCTCTCAAACTTGCCTTTGTTATTCAGCGCTCTCCGCCTGACACGCCGGCTGCTTGCAAAACCCGGCGCCCGGATCCGGCCGCGCATGGAACGGGGGCGCCTGCACCCTCCCGCCTCGCTGCTGCCCCACCCCCGCCAGAGAGGTGACCTGCTGGCGGGCGTGGCTCAGTATTTGCACAGCTGCCGGCGGCGGCGGCGGGGGGGAGCTTGGCAGCCGCCTCGGGAGACCGGCCCTGGGCCGGGGGCTGCGCGCTTCCCTCCTCGGTCGGCTGGTATCTTGCAAAGGCGCCTAGACCGGGGGAGGGGCAAAAAGCAAGTTGGGCTGGGCTAGCTGGGGGACACTGGGGGGGGGCGTGGGAAAAGCACAGAGGAGCTCACTTGAGGTGACTGGGGGTCCAGGGGAAAAGCCCCCCCCCCGTGAAGGGCTGGCTGCCCCCCGTCGCCTTTGGATCAGGCCCTTAGCGATGCAGCGCCCCAAGGACGGAGGATTTGTGGCGAGGCAGCCGCTAGCCCAGGCGGAGGTTAAATTCCGGTTCGAGGAGGGATTTATCGACGGGGAAGCTGGCTGGGGAGGGAGCCGAGAAAGGCAGCAGCAGCCCGGGGCAGGGCCCCTCCCCTCCCCAGCAACGCTGAATTCCTGCTCCCTGCGGACAGGGAACACCCACGTAAGGCAGCGAGCGCCACTAACCCGGCACCGAGGCCGCCCAAGGACGGCGATTGTCTCCCTGAGGGTTTGCAGCGTGCAGAGGGCACGACAAAACCTCAGGTCCCTCTTCCCTGGTGGTAACCCGCCACCCCTTAAATGCTGCATTCCCCTCTCCTCCTCCCGCAGCCCGAGAAACCCCCAGCTCCTGCTTCCAGTGCTTGTCTTAATTGCATAATCTAACAAGCCCCTTTGGAACCGGAATGAATATATTAGGCTTATTAACAACTCCTCCTAAAATACTGATTGGCCTGGGGGTGTTGGTAGCGGGATGGGGAGGGGAAGAGGTCGGAGGAGTTGGTTTTAGAAGCTCGATCCTGCTCATGACACGGAATTGCGTTTGTCTTATTGGCAATCACGCTGGATTTGCTCTTTTAAAAAAACACCTTCGCTCTATTTTTGTTGTTGTTGAGCATCAAGATCTGCGAGGCCCTCTTAAAAGCCCCCAGCTTTGCACTTGGAAAAAAAGTGTCGGCAGGAGGGGAGGACAACTCATTGCACTGATGGCCAACAACACGCTCAAACTTTCAGGGACGATTGGCCCCCCCCGCATCCGGAGTGGCTGCTATTAAAATAAAAACCAGCCCCTCCTCTTTGTGTCTGGTTTCCCCTCCCTCTTCCCTGAGCCGTCCTTCTTTGGGGAAGCTTGTGCGTGTGATGCTCCCGCCACTCCTCTTCGGGCCGGGGGTGGCTGCTCCCGGCCGATAGAAAGCTCTCTTCGGGAGCAGTTCTCTTCTCTTGGTACCCCTAGAGACGGAGAACAGAGCGTCCGTGCTGTGTGGGGCTAGAAAGGAAGTCCCCACGGAACTAAGATAAAAAGAAACACACACACACACAAAAGCAAAAGGAGCTTGCCCCTTCCAACCAGTAATCTTCCCAGCTCCCCTACGGCCTGCCCCCTCCCCCCAAAAAACACCCACCGTAGAGGACATGCACTGAGGCACGCTGTTAATTACATCAATTCCAGAGCGGGGTCTCCCCTCTTCATCCATACACCCATCCAGCAGATGCTCCCCGTGCGTCCCGGCTCCACTCCGGGAAGGGCTGGGCTACGCACCATTCACTAGGCTCAAGAGGAAGTTTGTGATTGCAAAAAAAAAAAAAAAAAATCATCTTGTAAACCAATATTTGCATCTTTAACTTTGCGGGGAGGGAAAAGAGGGAGCGAGACGAGGGAGCGACGGACAGACCATCTCTACCCAAGGCAGCTCCCTTTCAGATAGGAATCTGGGACAGATTTTGCCAACAGCCACAAAGCATGGCCCTTTGGTAATAGAATAGCCAATGTAATTTGACACTTCAACTTGCTGTGCTCTCTGCTAGTTGATTCACTTACTCACCCACTAACATTGAGCTCCTTTTCACTGTCTGTATTGGAGGGGGGGATCAGGAGGGAGAAGCGGCTTTTAAATAAAAAAAAAAAATATTTAAAAGCACCTGAACAGAGCTGCCAATCAGTTGGAGAAAGAGGATTTTTGCCTGGCTGCTTCCTTATGATATTTCTTGCTGCAAGCCTGCTGAGCGAGCTGTAGGTAAGTTTCGTGTCTATTTCAGTCTTACGGTCTCACCTCCCTGTGCTGGTGACCGGGCAAAGATTCTGTCTTGAATGAGGCGAAACAATGGAGAAAGCAAGCTAAGGAAATATATATGGATCTATAGAGAGAGAACATTTGGTTTTGGGGGCTTTTTTTTTTTTTTTTTTTTTGCGAGACAAGAAAATGTGTGGAGACTTCTTAAAGGGACAGGTTGTATCTGTGTGGCTGGGAGAGGAGAAAGGGGGAATGAGGCAGAGAAAGAAAACAGGAGCTCCAGCGGAAAAGGAAATTCCTTGCCTTTTTGTGATTGTAGCGAATAGAGATTAAGGAACCGGAGTGTTTTATATTATGCTTGTGGGGCTCGGATCCCTCCCTCCTCCTGGAGCTGGGGAGGGAAGGGGGCAGTGTTGGGGAAATAGGGGACCGTAAAAGGAGGAATCCTTGCAAATTATAAGGGGGGGGGGGTCTAAGATCTAAGTTTTAAAAGCTGAAACAATGAGGCGAATTAGGCATGCCGGAGAGGCAGAGAGCGAGCGAGCTTGTGCCATAAAAACAAAGGAGGTTTACAAATAATCCGGATAGCTTCTGTTTTCTGGCCAGTTTACCTTTCCTGACTGCGCCGGTTGTGCACCGATCAGTCTAGCTGGGACTGAAGAATCTTTGGGGGGTAAGGGGTGGGGAGAGCAAGGCTGCAATAGCTAAAGTATTTTTTTTTGGGGGGGGGGAGTGTGTGTGTTTGTAGGGGGGAGAGATTGGGCATGTTGTCCGGGCTTTGGGAAGCTTGCCTGAGCGTAAATTCCTTGTGTCTGGGTTTTGAAAGCCAGTTGGGACTGGGGCCTCTCAATCACAAGGCAAGAGTAGACTCTCTCTCCCTCTCCTGTGTACATCTGTCCAGGAAGCCGGGGGGAGGAGAAAGAGGGGCCGATTGAAAGAACCCAACTCCTGCTTTCTTGCCATTGTGAAAGGAAAAAGGAGGGAATCGTTTTCACGGGAGACTGGCTGAGCTAGCTGCAGTAAAAGGGAGAATGGCAGCCAGTTAAAAGACACTTAAGGAATGTAAACATAAAAATAGGAGCCATCTACTCCTGCTGTATTCCTGGCTCTAATCATTGTGTGTATGTGTGTGTGGTGGGGGAGTTCTCTAAGCTGATTTTGCAATAGAGGACAGTGGAGAGGAAAGGGTGAGTGGGGAAGTTGTGGCTATTCCCATTTTTCTACACCTGCAAACTTTGTTTTTACACGTGGAGAGAGTTTAATTTCAGTCCTACCTTGGAGTCTGTGACGGGGAGCACAAGACTAGTTGTTGTGTTAAGTTCTTACTGCTGGTGCAGACCTCCTTGCAGTGCTTCCTAAAGCCTGAACTGTGTATAATGGAAAGAAAAAAAAATCCTGCTGTGATTGTGAGTCTCAGTCCAGGCAGCTGGACTTTTGAGACTGAGAAAACTGCCCCCAATTTCTCGAGACCGAGGCTAAGGGAAGCAGTACTGTCTGATGGTGCACAGGGCATATTTTTGTGCTTCAGTTAATAATCTGCAAACGGCTTAATGGCTCTGTAGTGACAGAGGAATTGGTTTTCTCCATTTACTTCAGCAGGCCTGAGTGAAGCTGGTGTTCTGACTGCTTTTTTCAATGCATTGACATGAAGGAGGAGGATTTAACTTGGCAGCCTGAACAAATGCTCTATCAAAGGTTTCCTAAGAGACAGTAAGAGAGCCGGTGGGAGATGAATGACCTGGGGTAGTTGTAGGGTGCTACCTATGCAAGCTTTCTTTTAAATATGAAATGGCCCCTTAGCCTCCTGAATAGAACTGTGTGCGTCTGAGAGGTGACAGGCTTATAAAATTTAAAAGGGCAAAAGACCCATTAATGCTCTGGCAAAGCTTTGGCTCTGGGCTCTGCTTGAGTAGTTCCAACTGCCTTGAAGTGCCCGAGCTTTTAAGGAATCTTTAGCAACAGCTTTTCTATAGTGGCAATATGGAACTTGGCCTTGTAAATTGGGAGGTTAATGATGTAGTTTCCTTCTCTCCAGACAGGAGAATGGGGGTGGGCATAGGATATGGGTTAAAAAAAAAAGCCCACAATAAATGGTTAGGCAGGATTCTAGCTAATGAAAGACCAATCAGGCTGTAATACTTGTGTGATCATTTTGCACTGTGGTAAAAGTTCTAACCCGAAATTAATGCACAGGCAACTGAGGAAAAGTTTGACAAAGAGGCTCAGCAAAACCATACACATGGAACCACTGACTGTCTTTGGGAGAATTAGGATTCATCTGACACAGAGCTTCTGCCTCAAACTTGCACCCCCTTCTTTTGATGGAGGGAAGTTTACTATGGCATCAATCTTCTCTTGGCGGGGCCTGATTCAGGTTTATGAATGCCAGAAGACTTGCGCTGACCTTTTTCTGTTCAAGTCGAGGATGTTGAAACACCAGCCATCAAACAAAAGACACATTGAAAGCAAGATCTGCAATAGAGCACGTGTGACTTTGAGGCTGGTTGAGTGCATTTGGTGACACTGTTTTCCTCTTGAGTTTGGGGGGGGGAAGTTGGAGGGAGAAAAGACCATTTATTAAAATGAGACTGTGGACAAAATGACTTAAAATAATCTAAACATTCCAAATGAGAGGACCCAATTTTGCTTTTTTTATCACTGTGTTTTTAGTTTCCACAAACATTCTGAGGCTAAGGAAACAGACGACAATATTTTTCTCCTGTGTGCAAAATTATCTGAATTTTTAAGTAGCTATTCTGCGTGTTTTTTAAAAAGAAAAACAATGTTTTATGGAACATGAGAACTGAAGTTCTAGGACTGTCTTTAGGAAGTAAAAGGAACAAAATAAAACATTGCTCAGGATTAATTGCTGGATTTGTGGTTTTGCCCTATGTCAGAAGTAATTCTTGTCCACTTTGTAGGTTTATCTAAAAGGGGATTTTATTTTCATTTCAAAATAAAAAAACAGAGACAGCGAATTGAGTATATTCACTTGTCTGTCCCATTCACATCAACATGAATGGATGTTTTTACTATTTACAGCAGTTAAGGTCCACAACACCTTAAATAAAATTTAATCATGATTTTAAAAATTGAATCTGTGGGCAAAGGCTCAGCTAAAACTCTATGGGGAAAAAATCATGTTGTGGACATCTATACAGTGCATGGCTTTGTAGTGTCTTGAGATAATGAAAACTGGATATGAGTGTGGTGTAGAACTTTGTTTTCCAAAATATTGTACGGCACCAAAGATAATTTTTTCTCATTACTTAAAAATATATTTTTTAATGATCAGAAAGGTTTACAAGGAGTTGAAGTGATGAAATTCTAGGCACATACCTTTTCATTCACAATTTTTCTTCCAAGTTGCCTGACCTTTACCCTATATCTCTTCCACTCTTTTAGGTTCCAAAAGTTTTGTGTCCACAACAAAACTCATAGGTGGTAACTACATCAGTGACACTGCAGTCGAACCAAAGTAGGCTAGTCCCTAGCAACTTAACTTCTCTTATCGGCTAGGAAGGTTTGGTTTCTCACTATAAGCTGGAAAGACACACACTTTTTTGTTTTTTGTTTTTTTTTGTTTTGACTTCTCTCTGGTTAACATGAGCCCTACCATTGGGAGGCAACAAATGTATTTCCAAGTTGCAGAATACGTTGTAACTTGAGGAATGATCATAAGAGTGGCCTTGGGTCTACTAGTTTTTGACCACCATGCCATAATAACTTGGGGAATCAAACAGTGCAGAGAATACTCTAGCCATTGTTCTACCTGTGGAATCTGTTTCTTATAAATATCTAGCTCTGCAATTAGTGCCTATGGTAGCGAATTTGACCACTATGAAATTGACTAGTAATACCAATTTCTTTGAAATTCATACAGTATTCTGTACAGTTGTGGCGATACTATTACTATAGCGCTGAGAATCTGTTTATGATTGCACTTATCAGCTACTGTGCGGACAAGACTTCTTTATCCATTTAAGATGTTGGTTTGCTTTTTAAAGAAGAAGCATATTTCATCAAGATGTAGTATAAAGCGCAAACGCATGGGCTGTTCCCAGTAGTTCAGTAAGAGGGGAGCATTGTTATTCCACTGAACTTTTGTGTGGATCTAAACTTTTCTGCTGACATCAGGCTGGGCGGTGTCAATGGAGCGAGCAATAATTTATTCTTCAAATGGGCTTAAAAACACAAGATTTGCGCAAATGTTGCGCAAAGTAAAAACTACATATGTAACAATTTCATTGTATTTGTTTACATTGGATTTTATAAAATCAAAGCGTTGCGCAAAGTAAAAACTACGTATGTAACAATTTAATTGTATTTGTTTACATTGGATTTTATAGAACAATTTTGTATTTAGGTTGGTTAATTTGGGGGAGGTTTTTTAAGGGGCTGTAGGTTGTAAAATGTCCAGGTGAGGAGGTGTAATGGAACATCCTAGTTTGACTGTTGGAGGCATTAGTGTATTATGAGAATAGAGGAAGGTCTTATGCTTGGTCATATGATGTTTTTGTTTTAAATAGGTTGAGCTGCATTGAAAACACTACTTGCAAATGTTGGGCTCTAATTATATGAGCATGGTGTTGCAGACTTCTTGTAAGGAAAGAAGGAGGGAAAATATTGGAGATAGTACTTTTCTAGTGGTAGAGAGAAAACGATCTTGTGTGGAGCCTTAGTCTGCCTAGTTGAATTATGCAGCGAATGGTAATAGAAATGTTGTTCATTTGATTCAAGCTGTCTTCTGTTTGCATCAGTTGAAATAATTATACCTTTCAGACCTGGATATGGGGGTAAAAGCAGTAGCTTATACTCCCATCATCCAATTCTGGAACAGCTGGATCAAATTGTTTCTAGAGTGAGGGGATGATAGCTTGCTTTTTAAAGGTGGCTCTAAAGGGCTAACAACAAAGTAGACCCATATGCCCTTTCTAATGCTAGTTCAATAGTGCAGGCTGGGCGTTTTGTATTTTGGTTAGTTATTTAATAATGTTAGCTTT